ATAGGTGATCTTTCCGGTCACCCTCCCACCACCCAGCCGCCCTTCTCCCCTCCCCTTCCCCACCCGAGAAAACTTCTTGAAATGAAAAACTCAATAGATGGTTTAATGGTAGATTAAAGACTGCTATAGGGAACATTAGTAGACCAAGAGAGGTGGTTCATGCCTATAATGCTAGCACTCTGGGAGGCCAAGGCAGGAGGATCACTAGAGTTTGGGAGTTTCAGACCAGCCTAAACAAAGAGAAAGACCCCCCCCTACTAAAAATAGAAAAACTAACTGGACATGGTAGTGCATGCTTCTTATCTCAGCTACTAGGGAGGCTGAGGTAAGAGGATTGCTTGAGCCCAGGAGTTTGGCGTTGCTGTGAGTCATGATAATGCTATGGCACTCTGCCCAGGGCAACAATGACAGACTATTTAAAAAAAAAAAAAATTAGTAAAGTGGCATGTAGAGATGAGATTACCTAACTAAAGTACAGATTATAAAGAAGTAGAAAATGAGTATTTAAAATACATGTACTTCGATAAAACTTTGATAAAAACAATCTTAAATACATAGATATTCATAATATGTTATATACTAGAGAACAAGAAAAATTGGTAAGTTTTTAGAAGGTAGAAACATTATATACCAGGCCAGGTGTGGTGGCTCATGCTGGTATTTCCTGTACTTTTTTTTTTTTTTTCCTGAGACAGAGCCTCAAGCTGTCCCCCTGCGTAGAGTAGTATGGCATCACAGCTCACAGCAACCTCCAACTCCTAGGCTCAAGCGAGTCTCCTGCCTCAGCCTCTGAAGTAGCTGGGACCACAGGCGCCTGCCACAATGCCCCGCTATTTTTTGGTTGCAGCTGTTGTTGTTGTTTGGCAGGCCGGGTTGGATTCGAACCCACCACTTTAGGTGTATGTGGCTGGCGCCTTAGCCACTTGAGCCACAGATGTCGAGCCATGTTTCCTGTACTTTTGAGAGGCTGAGGTGGGAGGACTGCTTTGAGTGTGCACCACCACACCCAGCTAACACTTCAATTTTTTGTAGAGATGAGGTCTTGGTCTATTGCTTAGTTTGATCTTGAATTCTCTCTTAAAGTGCTAGTATTATAGGCGTGAGCCACTGTATCTAGCTAGAATCTTTTTTTTTAGCTTTTTTTTTTGGAGACAGTCTCACTTTGTCAACTTTGGTAGAGTGTCATGGCGTCATAGCTCACAGCAATATCAAATTCCTGGCCTTAAGCAGTTCTCTTGCCCCAGCCTTCTAGTGGAATCTATCTACTATTTCTAGCTCTTAAATATTTCTTGAATCTATCTCCTTGTTTTCATAGGTTGCTAGGGCTGCTGTTGTAAGGTCTCACAGACTGAGTAGCTTAAAAATGATAGCAGTTTGTTTCACAGCTCTGGAGACTTAGAAGTCTGAGATCAAGGTGTGGCAGAGTTGGTTTCTCCTGAGGCCTGTGAGAATCTGTTGTGCACCTTTCACTTAGCTTCTGGTGGCTTGCTAATCTTTGGTGTTCCTTCATTATATCACTTGATCTTTACTTTAGTCTTCATGTGGCTTTTTTTTGTATGTAAGTGTCTATGTCCAGATCTCTCCCTTTTATAAATACGGCATCAGTCAGATTAGGCCCACTCTAACGACCTCACCTAATGACATCTGCAACAACCCAATTTGCAGATAAGGTTACATCCATAGGTTATTAGGGGTTAGAACTTTAATACATAAAATTAGAATGGGGAGACATGATTCACCTCCTAACATCTCTGTTACCACTTTGGTCTAGGCTACTATCATCTCTCACTTGAACACAGTTATTCCTGTTTCACTCTTAAACTCTCTCTACAACCTATTCTCTATATAAGGAGTGAGAATGATTTTTTAAAAAACTATTATAGCACTCTCTTCCATTTTACTAGTTTCTGTTTCACTCAGAGTCTTTATAATCTGGTTCTTGCCCATATCTTTATACTCATTTTCTACTGCTCTTTACCTTACTAGTCTCCAGCAATATTGGTTTTTTTCTTTCCAAGTTCTTGCCCTCAACTATGCCAAGCTCTTTGCTTTGAGCTATCTGCACACGATGATTCTTCCATCTGGGAATATCCTTTTCTCCCTTTACATAATTAACTTGCTCTCATTTTCCAGGTTTCTGCTTAAATGTTACCTCTCTCACAGAAGCCTTCTCTTATTACCTTCGCTGAAGTTGCCTTTTCTCAATTACTATCTTAGCCTGTTTAGTTTCCTTTGCAATTTTTTTTTTTTGGTAGAGACAGAGTCTCACTTTATGGCCCTCGGTAGAGTGCTGTGGTGTCACAGCTCACAGCAACTTCCAGTTCCTGGGCTTAGGGAATTCTCCTGCCTCAGCCTCCTGAATAGCTGGGACTATAGGCGCCTGCCACAATGCCCAGCTATTTTTTTGTTGCAGTTCATCTGGGGCTGGGTTTGAACCCACTACCCTTGGTATACATGGGACCGGTGCCCTACTCACTGAGCCATAGGCGCTGCCCTTCCTTTGCAATTTTATTTTTTTTTATGTCACTCCCTTCCTTCTCTATTGTAAACTGAGTCAATTTCCATGTCCTCCTTGTTTATCCTTATATTGTGCCTAAGAACAACATGCTCAAAAAGTCTTTATTTGTTGAATAAATGTGTCCCCAAAATATACCATATACCTAATGTTGATTGAGTACTCAGTAAATGTTTATAGATTTATAGGCATAGATGATAGTCTTTTTTTGTTTTTGAGACAGAGTCTCACTTTGTCAACCCTCAGTAGATTGCCGTAGTGTCACAATCATAGCAACCTCGAACTCTTGGGCTTAAGCAATTAATTCTCTTGCCTCAGCCTCCTAAGTAGCTGGGACAACAGGCACCTGCCACAATACCTGGCTACTTTTTGGAGATGGGGGTCTCGCACTTGCTCAGGCTGGTCTTGAACCTGTGAGCTCAGGCAATCCACCCACCTGGGCCTCCCATAGTACTAGGATTATGGGTGTGAGCCACTGTGCCTGGCCTAGATGTCAGTCTTAACAGCCAAGCATTATATTGACATCTATGCTACTCTATCTAAATAAAAATTTCTCTGAATGATGTGAACCTAAAAAAAGAATGCCTTTTCATATTGCGTGTTTAGGTTATTGAGGTAGAGGAGTGTTGCCTGAGATTTGTAACTTTTTCTTTCTCGGATTGCAGTTGACTCACCTCCTTCAGAATCAAGCAGTGAAAGGGAAAGCTGCTGGAGCACTCCTGAGAGCTATCTTCAAAGGTACTAGTTAATATTACTTCAATTTCTTGAGTTCATTGGTAGATTTGTTTACTTTTGACCTAGACTGCTGCTCTTCGTACTGTTTAAAGCCCCCAGTGAAACATTCTCTGTGTTTTAAAGATTCTTTTTTTTGTTTGTCTGTTTTGAAGATTCTATAGAAATTATCTAATGGACTTCAATTTTACTGAGGGGACTTGGAGTGCTATCTAGGATTTTATTGCTGATTTGGGGGCCTGTACAGAACGCACTTTACATAATAATCTGCTTTGGTTGACTTGTAATTGTGAAGGAGAGAACAGCAATGTTTAGTACTTAATCTGTTCTTAACAAGGGGGCTAGGGAGCTTTAGGGGTTAATGATATGAAATGTATTAGTTACCTTATAGAGAGAGTTTTAATTCCTTGTAAGGGACATTTGTTTTCCTATCTTTTTTTTTTTTTTTTGGGAGACGGAATCTCAAGCTGTCATCCTGGGTACAGTGCCGTGGCATCACAGCTTACAGCAACCTCAAACTCTTGGGCTTCAGCGATTCTCTTGCCTCAGCCTCCCAAGTAGCT